GAGGATGGTCGTATTTTTAAAGACGAGAGCGACGACTTTGACAATGAGGTTGGCTCGGCCGGTCAGATTGGGCGCCAGGCGGTCAGACCGCTAGCACACGTCCAGTCAGACCGGCGTAGGATGTGCGGTCAGACCGGCCAGGTTCGTCGGGTTCTGGTTTTGTTGATATTGATCGTGATGGTCCTCCAGAGGCTACAACTTCGACTAGTACTGGTACAGAACATGAAACAACTTCAGAAGTCGTTGCTCCTTTGCATATTCAACGACGACATCCGCTGGAACAAATTATTAGAAATTTTGGTGAGCGGACTACAAGGTCTAAGGACTCATGATGTTTTTGCAAATTTTGCGTTTGTTGCTACTTTTGAACCCAAAGATGTTACTCATGCATTAACTGATGAATCATGGATTAACGTCATGCATGAAGAACTTAAAAATTTTAAGAGAAATAAAGTTTGAATTTTAGTTGAACCACCCTGTGGATATAATATTATTGGAACCAAATGGGTTTTCAAAAATAAACAAAATGAGAATGGTTTAATTATGAGAAATAAAGCTAGACTTGTTGCTCAAGGTTTTACTCTGGTGGAGGGTTTTGATTTTGATGAAACTTTTGCTCATGTTGCTAGAATTGAGGCAATTAGATTTTTGTTAGCTTTTACTGCTTCAAAAGGTTTTAAATTGTATCAAATGGATGTGAAAAGTGCTTTTCGAAATGGTTTTATACAAGAAGAGGTTTATGTCAAACAACCACCAGGTTTTGAAAATCCTGATTTTCCCAACCATGTTTTTAAATTGTCTAAAGCTTTGTAAGGCTTGAAACAAGCACCTAGAGCATGGTATGATAGGCTTAAGAACTTTTTGCTTGCAAAAAGTTTTCAAATGGGAAAGGTTGACAAAATGCTTTTTGTTCTTAAGCATGGTGATAATCAACTTTTCGCTCAGATTTATGTAGATGATATCATCTTAGGTTGTTCAACTCACGCTTTGGTTGTGGAGTTTGCTGAGACTATGCGCAGGGAATTTGAGATGAACATGATGGGTGAGTTATCGTACTTTTTGGGATTGTAAATTAAGGAAACACCTCAAGGTACATTTGTGCATCAAACGAAATACACAAAGGATCTTTTGAGATTTTTCAAGATGGAGAATTGCAAGCCAATTTCAACACCAATTGGTTCTACAGCTGTGTTGGATCCTAATGAAGATGGTGAAGCTGTTGATCAGAAGGAGTATAGAGGTATGATTGGATCTTTGTTGCATCTAATTGCTTCTAGGCTAGACATACAATTTGTTAAGTGTTTATGTGCACGCTTTCAAGCTTCTCCTCATGCTTCACATCGTCAAGCAGTCAAGCGGATAATGAGGTATTTGAATCATATACTTGAGTTTGGAATTTGATATTCTACTTCATCTTCTATATGCTTGAGTGGATATTCCGACGCTGATTTTGCTGGTTGTAGAATTGATAGGAAAAGTAGTAGTGGAACATGTTATTTTCTTGTTACATCATTGATTGCATGGTCTTCTAGAAAACAATCTACTGTTGCTCAATCAATGCTGAGTCTGAATATGTTGCTGCTGCTAGTTGTTGTTCTCGATCAGATTCTTTGACTTATATCAACTTTGAAAGATTATGGTCTTACTTTTGAGAAAGTACCTCTTTTTTGTGATAATACTAGTGCTACTAACATTGCTAAGAATCATGTACAACACTCATGCACAAAGCACATTGATATTCACTTTCACTTTTTGAGGGATCATGTTGAGAAAGGAGATGTTGAATTGACGTTTTTGGACACAAAGTTGCAACTTGCTGATATTTTCACTAAACCATTGGATTCTTCTCGCTTTGCTTTTCTTCGTGGAGAATTGGGAATAATTCATTCTTTTGGCATGGTTTGAGGGGGAGTTTTGTACATCATGGTTTTATCAATCAAAATTTGACAATAAGAAATATTGAGAACAAAGAGCTTTGCTTTATACATATGGTATTTTCTTGTGCATGCTAGCAATACTATGAAGGTTTATTTGTGTCTAGCATAGCTTGTATGTATTTTAGTCTTTTTATAAGGCCTAGATATTGTTTTTAAGGGAGATGATGCATGACACTTAAATTCTATAACTTGAATTAAGAAAATATGCAATATTGATGCTAGCATATGGTTTGATTTATAAATGCTTATATATGTGCTTTATTGAATTGTTATTCCTCAAATAGCTTTGTAATGTCTCATTGTGCAAGCGAATAAAATTATCTATGAGAGAAAAAATGAATACGAATCCTTAGAAACAGTCTTGACGACAAGGACGTATTCGATGTGAGCAAAAATAATGGGTGCCGAATCCTTGGAAACAGTCTTGATGACAAGGACGTACCCGGAATAATTGAGAGAAAAATATGAGCAAAAATGCTAAAATAAAAGTTATAAATTCTCTTGGTTGTTTTGTGCTAGAGCTAATTTAAGAAAGAGTGATAATTGCAATAGGTATATATGTGTAGTGTTTATTTTTCAACCTATGTGCTTCTAAAGATGTTGCATTATAAATCGTATGAAATCATGAATTTTGATTGTTGATTTGAACTTAGTTGTAAAATCTTTGGTTCATGATTATACTTTAATGCATGCTTGCTATATTATGGATGGGTTCATCTTCTTTTTATTGCAACACATGACTTGATATGCTATATGTATGCTAAGCTCTTGAACATAAATGAACATAATTCTTATGCTTCATGAAATCATTGTCAAAAGGGGGAGAAGAGAAGAGATTGTGCATGTTTTTCAAGTCAAGGGATAATTTCTTTGTTTTCAAAAGTGAGAGAAGTTTTCTTTTGAATTTTGAGCATGGAGTACACAGTGTGTTTTTTGCTTTTTACCACTTTTGTTTTTATTTTTCCAAACAACAAAACATATTTGATGGGTTTGCCAATGTGTTCATCAAGGGAAAGATTGTAAAATCAAAGTGTTTTTCATTCTTATTCTGTGATGAACAATCGACATATGTGATTATTGGTTTTGATATTTGGAGATTATTGGCGAAGTAGTTTTGGAGATGATTGGATTTGCTGGTGATCTGCAGGTGTTGCTGATTGTCGGGTCCGGTCAGACAGGCCAATGGTTGCCGGTCAGACCGGTGTGTATTGTGCGGTCAGACCGGTCAGCCCGCGTTCTGACCGGCCGACTCTGTGTCCATTTCGATTTTGGGTTGCTTGTTTGGATATTGTTGGAGGTATACCAAGAACTTGGGCAACAGGCCCAGACCGGAGGCAAGCGGCGAAGGTCGAGGAGAAAACCATATGGGCGAAAGCCACAAGGCGAAAGCCGTGGCTTGGAATGTGCCAACTTCACCAAGCGAAGACCTTGTCAGAGGGCCGCGCGAGCGAAGATGATGAGGCGAAAGCCTCGGCACAAAGGCACGGGTTTCGCCAAAGTACCGAACCTCACCGTCAGGAGGCCCAGCGGGCTACTTACGCCTTCGGGGGATTTCGGCAAATAGATGGGCCAAGCCATTTAAGCCCAATAGGGGCCCATACATGTAAAGGACACAGTGTGCCCTCAATAATGTCCCTATCATAAAGGTAACCATGTAAATTCACTTGTAAAGTCTAAATCCTAATAGGGGGAACCTGTAATAGGGCTATAAATAGCCCCCTAGGGCCAGATAATAGGGTGATCCAAAAATTTTTCACTAAGCAATACTATTGTCTTTCTTTTCCAACTATCAATGGATGTTTCATGTTTATGGCTTCTAGATGGATACTATGCGTATACTATTTTTCACTAAGCAGTACTATTGTTGAGAGAACCACGCCTTTCGACGTGAAGCGGTTGTCTATTTGACAACAGATATCCATAGATGATTCATGTTTATGGCTTCTAGATGGATACTATGCGTATGTAATACTGTTGTTTGCTAACAATGAGTCAAGTTGGAGATAGCTTGATCTCGGAATATGGTTTCTTTGTTTGATTCATGTGTAGGTGTCTTGATGCCTCGGGAGAGTACTGCCGGTGATGGATCGAGAGTCGACTTGGAGATAAGGCGATATCCGGACGGTCATATATCATACGAGATACTTAGGCTAAAGATCAATGCACGTGGTTGGTGAAGATTCCATATGGCATACGATGGAGATATTGTGTGCGTATGGGATGCGAAGTCGAATTTGGAAGGAGTCCAAATTTGGTATGATTGGAGTTTGTAAAGTTGGTTTCTTGTACAGAAAGGTTTCCTAGGAGGATTAGGACTTCTTGTATGAGTTTGGTTCATGGTTTTAGGCTGCCTACCTCATTTATAAATAGAGAGGGAGGGTGTGGCCTCCCGGTATCGCTTTTGAGAGCATTGAGTTGAGGGTTGAGTTTGGGTTTCGAGTTTAGTCGAGATTTTCGTGAGGAGTGCTGTTGTTGCACTTTGTAAACACAGAGATAAGTAATAAAGTTGTCATCTACATCAAGAGTTCTTCGATTTGTGTTTGCTTGGGTTTGGCGGTCTAACCGACGAGACACTGGCGGTCAGACCGATGGCATCGCGGTGGTCAGACCGGCGGAGTAGCAGCGGTCAGACTGGCGGCGGCTTCAGGCGACGACAGCTGATCTCGGCGGTCAGACCAAAGATACAATATCGGTCAGACCGATGGCTTTCAGGCGGTCAGACCGGTGCAACTACTTCGGTCAGACCGCGATCCGTCGAAATTGAGGGTAACTTTTATTTCCGGTAAAAGTTTTGGTTTTTGGGTACACCAACCATTCACCCCCCTCTGGTTGGCTAAGTTCTTGCTATTCGATCCTACAATTTTAAGCAATTACACTTATAGAAACTTAGTCTAAGATGGCCGGACCGATGAATACAATGCGCGCAACACAGTTTTCACTGACCAGTAGGCATTTTCTCTATAGTGTATGTTTCCAGACTCAGTATTATTAATGAATCATTCAGACTTATTATATTAAGTGATTTGGTACAATTCAGATATGTTCTCAGACTAGCTGGGAAATGTTATCAGTAATCAGTTGGATATGTATTATTTATCGATTATCGCTGCTGCATATAACAAAATATTTCCAACAAATTACATAACTTTCACGCAATTGAGAACTATGAACAATTCACTATCGTGTTTCATCTACAAAAAAGTTACAATTTAGCTGAGCCTTCCTATTTTTCTATGAGTACACACTTGGACATTTGCACATCTGAAATAGGTGGGAAGCTAGTGAAATATCATCTTCACTTTATAATTTGCCTTCCTAGCAGTTCTGTTCGCTTGAATGGGAAGATCACTTGGTGGGGGAAGCATGAATGTACTCCAGTTCCGTAAAATAACCAGTCTGCAGGAACATGTCAAAATCATTGATATTTTAAATTAGGGGATGACTTATTGCTCTAATGATATCCACTGAACAAATAAGCTGGAAAACATGCATGATAATTTCATGCAGATCATCTTTTTTACGTAGAGGGACGCTAGCTATTCAGGATCTAAAAGTTCTATGTTACTTGGCAGCTCAAGTTACATTAATAAAAACAAAACAAGACTTAAAGAAACCTAATAAGTATATGTGTGTGAAAAATATGAGAGCTTTCAGCGGTGTGTTTTGAAAAATATTAATATATCATACTGACATCAATTTTGCCACAATTGCACTTCTAGTAGCAACATGGGTGGTAATCATATTATTGTATCACCTCCAATTACTGAAAGGTGCTATTTTGGAGATACGTCTAGTTTAAATTTCAAAATTTAAGCATCAGGAACTTTTAAAAGTATTGAGATCAGATGTATGAAAATTATATTGGTTGATTTGTCTTTTGAAACTAAATCATAATATTATAGTTTATTTGTTTTACAAATAAGAGTTTGTGGTGAAAACTATACTTCAGGCAGTACCATTGTACAAAATGGCTCGTTTTCATGCACAGAGGGATTTATATTTTTTTCTTTTCTTAGTTTTTTGTTTTTTAGAATTGTAAGTACTAGTTTATACTACATGTTTTAGGTTTTAGCACCTCTGCAGGGCCACTGTTCTTTACTAAGATATAAATTGGCCCTGCCCTGCTTTTGGTTGATACGGTATAAGGATCAGAGTAAGTCTATGTACTGTACTGATTGCAATGTAATATAAGTGGATAAAGATTAAAAGAAAAACTCAAAACCCAATTTCCTGTTGCTTTGGATGCATGCATACCACACAGGGTAAAAGTTAACTCACTTTGCAGAATCACATGAAATAAATACTTTTTCGTAAAGGATCAGATTACCTTTTTCAGAAAGAAATAAGTCTCAACTTTCCTATCCATGTTTACAGCATCCAAGTCCTATGTCAGATATACAACCTCAAGTGTAATGTATGTGCTCTAATATATTATGCAGCTTTGAAGGCCTTCTTCGAAATAAAGGTTCTAAACGGAAAGAAGAACCACCATTTTTTAACTTCTTAGCGTCATACATTTCATTCCATGCTTGAACTATCTCGTCAATCTTGAAGCTCAATCCTGCAGAACAAAGAAAATGTATCAGCTATCCATGTACCAACCTTATAGCTAGTTACAGAATGTTAATCTGAAACTCACATGTTTGTTTTACTAATTGTATGATATAACCTGACTACAAATTGTCCAAGAAGTCCCAGTTTCTCAACCATAAATAGTTTATCAGGTTATGCTAGTGAACCCTGATATCTAACAATGCAATGTTGTACCGCGTGGTTTGCACACATAGTTCACCTTATGTTATTGAAATTGATTGTTCTTGGCTAGAGGTAAACTACAATTGTTCTTGGCTAGAGGTAAACTACAACCTGGATAGATAAATCTTATGCATTTGTGTCTCAGTAATGGATTCTTGATAGATTACATTAGCCTTGTAACCCTGCTCGGTAAGTCTTCCACCTGTGAAGAATCCAATTGCAGGGAAATCAGGTGGAAACAACTTTGCTTCTTCTTTTTTTCGCAGGGCTGGCGAAAGCCAGCCGAAGTTTATTAAGAAGAGGGGGAAACAAAGTATACAAAGGTTACAGAGAACTTTGCTTCTTCACTCATTCACATTTTTACTTACTCATAAACTGCTGCAGTCGTAGAAGCCCAGTGTTTGTAACAACTTGTAATTTTAATAAGAAACAAGTCGAACAATACAAACAGGTCAGTTGTTTTTCATCTACCATGACAATTATGCATGCACCAATTTTTCTTACTCACTAGCTATTCCAAAACAAAACCGTTTAGTATCGACCCAAAGTAACATTTTACCAAAAGTTAGGTCAGAAAACTTGCAAAACAAAAGTAGCAATGTTAACTGAACATTTCACGAACTAATTATTGCAATGTACAGGAAAATTTGCTTACATAGACAAGATGTTTGGGAGTAGATGATTTAGCAGGATTTCAATAAATAAATATTGAGTAACGCGTACCTTCCTGCGTTTTCTCATTTGCACAGTGGTTCTTTATCATCACACTGATGTCAGGCAGAGATGCTCCCCCAGTCTTAAATTTTTCGATTGCTTCAGTAAGACTTTCCTCCCAGCTGGATAATCCTAACTTGAATTCCACTACCGAACGCTCATAGAGAATGGTACCCCATGAAATGTTCAGCTGTGATCTCATATTTGAAGCTTGCTCAAACGCTTCATCTGCTGAGAACTCCTTTAAATGTCCATTCAAACCCAATTTATCCAGTAAAACTTTCTCCTTTTTGGATTTAGATAGTCCTTTTACACGCAGATATTCTATTCCTTCCCACATTTCGATCCCCTTTTCCATATTGTCCTCAGCATGGTTGAATAGTTCAAGGACTTCGGTTCCCATTCCTATCTTGCATGCATCTGCGTAACGCCATGAAAGCTTTGCTTGCTCAAACTGTTGCTGTCCGAGTGCAATGAGACCTTCATAAAAGTCTGGTTTTACGTCCACTGCCTCCTCAAACTTTTTCCCAGCTTTGACATACTCAGCGCATGCCCATTCATATGCATTTTTGACCTGCAGAAGTATTGATTCCTGTGAAGCATCATCAGATAAAAGTAATCGCTTCTTTGCACGAGACATGTGGACGTTGCCCCAATTGAACAATGCTAAAGCTGCCATTTCCTGAAATTTTGCCTCCGCGGATTGAAATATCTCCTGGGCTTCTTCACTTGTGATGGTTTCTTCCATGGCTTCATAGTACAGCCTCATACCGAGGTCACGTAGATCCACATATGCATCAGAATCAAAACCAACATGATACTTGAATAGACGGGCAAATTGTACCATCCAGTCATCTGTATAAGAATTCTTTTCACCGCCATGCCTAGAACTTCCACATTCAGACATGGAATTGTGATTTCTTTCTAACTTACTGTAGGAGGTAGTGGGCATGACAAGATCCCTAGTGATCTCACGATCAGGACTTACCTCCTTTATATACAATCGGACAGGCTTTAGTGGATCTAGTTCCTCAACCCATCGCAGTTCTTCAGTTGAGGTAATTGTCACCAAGTCACCCTCTTTGTCCATAAATTTAAGAAGGATTGACTTCAAGTGAGGAGTGTACTTATAGCGAGCTATGTCCATCAGCTGCATCAGAGTTATATGTTCTGGAATTACAACGATCCGTATGTCATCTCCACAAACAAACTTCACGCTCTTCATTGCCCTCTTGTTAACATCTTTGTGATTCTTATGCTTGTCTCTACCATGGATTGTTGGCTTGAGCGTGGATCGCTTTTCCTGCTTATCCTCACCACGACCAATATGCCTGTCTAGAAAATGCTTTTCTCGGCTGCCGTTGGCATACCTTTCAAACTTGTCCGTGTGCTTTTCTTGCATGCCGAGACTATTGGTTTGTATCTGATCAATATGCTTTTGGCGTTTGTCCACACCACTACAGAATGGATGGGTTTCCTGCCCATGACTGCCTCTAACATGTATCTCTTTAAGATGCTTCTGATGCTTCTCTTTACCATGCTTCAGGTTGACACACATCTCTTCCATATTCAGTGAAGAATGCTGCAGTACTGTCTTCCCATCGTTGCTGGCTCCTCGACTGCACTGCCCTTGCTTCGGCCTGGTCTCCTCTCTGTACTTCTCTTCGCTGCTCCGGTTTTGTTTTATGTGCATCTGCTCAGTGTCGTTTTCTTCGGGTCTTGCATCATTCTGCACATGGTTGTTCCCATTGCATTTCTCTTCCTCGGCAGCCTCATCATCCTCTTGCATATCCTCTTCATGAATCATTTCCCACACCTCTTCCTCAACTATGGAGTTTCTGAATTTGCGGGATACCTTCCTCTTGATCTTATCTTTTGCTAAAATAGCCTTAGGCTCCTCAGCCACAGGCGAAACAATCTGTTTCTCCAGCAAAACGTCTTTCTCCTCCATCAGCTCCTTGATACTCTCTGATAGCTCCAATGCAGTTACATTGCTTGGTTCTAAGCTCAGCACCTTCTGTACATCCTTGCAAGCGAGATCCAGCTTATCCAGTGCTTCGAAACACCGTGCTCTTTTCAGTAATGCTTTCGTATACTTTGGTGATGCCTCCAATGCCAGATTACACTCCTCAATTGCATGATCAAGGTCCTCAGGATTCATGTGCATGTAGCAAGCAGCAGCGTTGCAGTGGAGAAAGGCGATATCATTGTGTTCCTTTGGAAGGAGCTTTATCGCCTCGCCAAATTTGATGGCTGCCTCCTCATAGTCCCTTCTCTGGAATAGCCTCGTCCCCTCATCCTTCAATTCAATAGCTTGTCCTATGATCAGGACTGCATCATCATTACTGACCTCTGGGAGGGGATTAGTCTCTTCAATGTTGTTGGGTTGGCTGTTCCTCGAGCTGCTTTCACCATCATTTGCTCCTAATTCACTTGTTTCATTCCCTCTTGGTGTAGTAGTACTCTCCATGCTACAAGCCTTTCAATCTCCCACACAAAAGAATTGACTCAGATGATGATCCGATAATTTCTTTTGGAGCACCACCTCTCCTCCTCTTGCTGAAAATCAAGAAACCGCGGAATCTCCCGCTCTTCTTTCCGATTAAATTTGCAATTGGAACAAGAAGAAAAATCAATTGATATGGATGGGAAAGAGAGATTGGGCAGCACGATTCGCTCCTCCCTCTTTCCCATGCAAATGGAAACCTTACCCTATCCTGGCAATCCCATCGAGAATGCACGAAATATAGTTATACAAGAAATCAAGCTGGTAATTGGTGTCCTAAAATTTGATCAGAATGGAAATGGAAGGAAAGAAGGAAAGGAGCAAATGGGAAAGCAAAGCACAAGGAAGCATACTACAACGAAGGAGAGCGGACGTAGGATGGGATGCTAGCGAAGGGAAGCCACACACTTTTTGGGTGCCACCTAGCAGTGGCCATCCATGTTTGCTTTTTTTGGTATGTCTCTAACTGCCATTAAGTTCAGCTGGTTTTAAATCCTTGTGTTTGGAACTTGGCGCAACTTTTGCTTCTCTGGTTAGCACATTGGAGAAAGAAGGGGCTGTCTGCGCATGCAAACTATGTTTCCTAATTTTAGGACCGGTTCAAAATAGATTATCTAAAATTAGTTTCCTTTAATATACACTTGTTAGTTGTCACAAATAAAGTAGAAATTTATCACAAAATTCCTCGTTGTGGCCAATCTAAGTTAGAATGCCATGATGTGGTTGGTCCAACCATGCTAAAAAACGAGCTGCTCAAAACCCAAAACACAAGCTGACCTCTAACCAAATCCTCTAGTGGTCAGGTCACGACATAGCGTCGGACACTTCACCCTCAAACACTGTTTTTCCGCCATTGCCTATATTTAGCGTAATCTAGCCAATTATCTCTAATGTATTGGGCCATCAATATATTCCAATTCAGGCCCATTTGGGCCAAATATTCATGTGTGGTGGGATTAGTGCCAATATGACAATTTAGATAGGTTTGGGCCATCTTATAAACCCCTGCATTCCAACCATAATTCTCCGAGTTAACTCTTTTACACTAAGCAAGAACGAAATGATGATGACAAATTAACCCTTTTACATAAGGCTCATACATAAGTAGTGTGGGATGCCCGACCACACAGGCGCCCCAAAAATTTGGGGCCTAAAATTTTAGGGGTCAATCCAATTTCATGTGTTCTCGTATGTTTCAAGATATTCTTATCCTATTTATGTAAGCTTCACATCCCCTCCCGTAATCTCTACAACCGATTTTAGGGTCAAAAATCTGGCCTCCTATTGAGCCACGTGGCACAATAAAAATTTAGTAAGACATCTCCAGAAAACTACCACGTGTCCATGAAGAGGAGCTAAGAGTCTGCTTCGTTGGAAGTTGTCTCCTGTACACATACATGATACACCTATCAGAAATCTCTAGAAAACTCGAAGACTCTCCGACGGAGAGATTACCTGGTCGTTGGAGAAGATGAAGAGGTAACACTCCCGTGCACATCATGGTAAATAAGTGTGTACAGTTCATGGCACAAATTCTATAGATTTGCAACTTTTCATATGGTACCACGAAAAAATGACGAGTATTGTGGCTCCTTTAAACAACATTTAGAACACCTTTAAATAATGTGATTTGCTACACTAAATTTTAACTTAAAAATTGATTGAAATTTTTATTCGAATGTACCTTCTTTTTGTTTCAAAAAATTGAACTAGATTCTTATAAAACTTTGCAAAATTTATATTAACTTTGTATTTAACATAATGTCATTTTAATAATCAACACAGACTCCATTATACATATTTTATCATTGTTTTCCCAAACTACATATCTATACAAATTAAAATACAACTAAGTTTTCATCAAAAATCTATCGATATGATATTTACAATTTAATAGCTTATGATATGGAAATTTGAGGATGTCGTCTTTTTGCAACAAACATAATGCTTCTTAATAACACGAAAACGAATGCAAGGGCTATAAAAACAAGCGTCGGCACGCTTGTTTTCTAGTGATCTAGCTAGAACGAGCTTAGTTTTCTTGCCTTCCATAAGTCCTCGATTGTAATTATAACCATCTCAATACCATGACTCATGACGACGACGTGCGCACATATTCTAGGTAATGAGGATTTCATTTTTATACTTCATAAAGAGAATATAGTCATCAGGATGTAATGATTTCCTAAGTTTAAAAAACCATTGCCGTTGATGGTTGGTAAGCTTTCTCGGTCATCCATGTGTCTATATATTATGTTCTATATATTATATAAATAACTTGTCATTAGACGTGTACTATTCTTTTTTAAGAGTGGGCACATTAGATCTACCGATAGTTCTTCTACACTGATAGAAAAGATCACCAGCAACGACATGAATGAGCAAAGCATAGCGGCAGTGGATACCTATACAATAAATTGTAAATATGTGGCATTAAGTGAAAGTGGCTACATCCATTGTGTATTTGCAACTTTAGTCTATATACATAGTACAAAGTAAAATCAACTCTTTTGATTAATAATACAAACAAACGAGCGCGAACAAGTCAACTTTTCCATGACCAAAGCTATGGTAACAAGTAAATAAGCATCATTTCCTATATATATTTTTTAATAGAAGACGGCAAGAGAATTGCCGGTTATATTAGGAGGAAAAATAAAGTTTTACATCGGGGGTACATAGAAACAAAAACAAATGGGTACACTGCTTGACATCGCGTGTATAATAAAATAGGAATTAAGGTGGTTTAAAAGCAAAATCTCTGTCTCTGATGTCCTCCAGGATGGCAGAGATGGTATGGGCTATGTTTGGTGATTGGTCCCTGAAAATCCTCGCGTTTCTCATGAGCCAAATATGCCACCAGGTTGGTACAAGCGCTCCAAGTCTTTGCCTTGCCTGTACTTTCGATGATGAAGATTTGATGTTCAGCACGTAATCCTAGATGTTTTCCAGAGTAGAGAAGGCAGGGATTTGCTTTTGTCGAGAGACTTCTTGCCATATTTGCTTTGTTACTTTGCATTGTCTGAAGAGGTGATCAGTGTCCTCAAAAGCCTCTGTGCAGAGCTGGCAAATCCAATTGCATGGCCAATGTCTGATTAGTAAGTTCTCAGCCGTTAAAGTCTTCTGGTGTAGGATTAGCCAACCCAGGAATCTCTGTTTTGACTGCGCCTCAGCTGTCCATATCATTTTAAATGATTTGTTTCTCTCAGTTCCAAAGAATTGGGCATGGTAGGCACTTCTTGCAGAGTAGAGGCCATCTGTAGTTTGTGTCCATTCAATCTTGTCTTCAGTATTCACTAATAGCTCAACATGGTGTAGTAAGCTTCCTAGTTGTACCAGCTCATGAAGGACTTCAACGTCTGTTATTTGTCTGAATGAAGCAAGCCAGACATTGTTTGTAAATTCAGTTTTGACATGCCTGTTTTTCCTGATTGCCACCTTTTTAGACGCAACCTGATTGCCACCTTGAAAAGGTTTGGTGAGATGTCTTTTGGACACAGGCCTTCGATCCAGTTGTCTTTCTAGGAAAGAGTCTTCTCCCCATTACCTAGGGTGATCTTTGTGCAGGCATGAAAGAGCTGTACATCAGCCTTGTTGTAGGGCAAATCCAATTTTTCCCAAGGCTTAGAAGGATCAGTCCATCTCAGCCAAAGCCATGTGAGCCTCCAAGCTGAAGAAAATTTTTGAAGATAATGAATTCCAAGGCCTCCAAGGATTGATAAATTTTCGATGATAAAGAATTCCAAGCTTGCCCCAGGCTTAATGTTTTCTGGCTTATCCCCTTTCCATAAGAAGGCCCTCCTTAATTTATCAATCCTTTTAATGGCCCATTTGGGGATTGGTATGTAGATTATGCGATCTACTGACATGAGTGCTAAGCCTAACATGATCACCCTAATACGGAATTCTTAGATTACTGACCGGTGTTTGAAGCCATTGATGCGGTCCTTGTCCTTGTCGGTGTAGACGAAGTAGTGGTAGCAGTAGGAACGCCGGCTTGATCCTGAATTGGTCACCGGCGATCACTTGAGGGGTAGCGACGGCCTTCCGGTCGCCACCTACACTATCCCAGAACCACCACACGTTCTCCCTCCAACGCTCAGTTGATCGGATAGGGTTTTGGGATTTTCGAGGAGAAGAAGGTCGTGGAGAGATCGTCACCTAACCACGAAACCAGCCTCCCCTATTAGTATAGCGCTGAGGGAGATCGGGGGCAATCCAAATTATGGAAGGATTTGGCGCTACCGATCAATGCGTGTAATCACGTAGTTATGGAAATTGAATTGCGTTAATCCCGGTTGGAAAATGGCGTCTGAGATTTTGGCAACGGGTGGAAAACCGCCGTCCGAGATTTCTTCTCGATTTCCATGCCAAGAGATATTCTTTCCTAACATTCTCCCCCCGATCTTGAGGCAAATGAGTTTATTCTTAGAAAAATAGATTTACTAAGGCAACGCGTCAGGGTAGTTATCATATCCTACCAAGACTCCGGTACCTATAGTTCACTATATAGTTCACTATATCTTAATGGGAATTAGTTAGGACTAATGCCCCTATTTCCAGGATCTTAGTCTTAATCAAAGGCAATCAGTTATTCCCATGCCGGCTACATGATTTTTAAATAAATTGGGAGGTAAGCCTTTGGTGAGTGGATCCGCGAGCATTGACTTAGTGCTAATATGCTCAATCTTAATGGTTTGATCCTGGATTCTATCTTTCACAACATGATACTTAATGTCGATGTGTTTGGCAGCACCACTCGACTTGTTGTTACTTGAATAGAATACTGCAGCTTTATTATCGCAGTATAATGTAATTGGTCTAGAAATGCTGTCGACCACTCTTAAACCCGGGATAAAATTCTTAAGCCATATGGCCTGCCCCGTTGCTTCATAACATGCCACAAATTCAGCATGCATTATCGACGATGCAGTCAAAGTTTGTTTAGACCTTTTCCATGAAATTGCTCCCTTTGCAAGAGTGAAGAGATATCCTGATGTAGATTTCTTAGTGTCTACACATCCCGCAAAGTCTGCGTCTGAATAACCTAGGACTTCAAGTTCTTCAGATTTATTATATGTGAGCATGTAATCCTTAGTGCCTTGCAAATAACGCAAGACCTTTTTAACAAACTTCCAGTGGTCTAAACCAGGATTGGACTAAAATCTGCCAAGCATCCCGATAACAAATGCTAAGTCTGGACGCGTATAGACTTGAGCATACATTAGGCTTCCGACAGCTGAAGCGTATGGTACCATTTTCATTTGATCTGATTCTAATTTATTTTTCGAGCTTTGAAATATCCGAATTTATCGCCCTTAACTATTGGAGCAGGTGTTGCAGAGCACTTACTCATATTATATCTTTCTAGTACTCTGTTAATGTATGATTTCTGAGATAATCCCAGTACTCCTTT